CATTTAATTCTCACAACCATCACAAGGCAGGCACTCGTTACCTCTGTTCTCTAGATGAGAAGGTAAAGGTTTAGAGAGATTTGATAATTGGCACAAGGTCCCACAGTCACTAGAGAGGGAATCACTTGTGTCTGAGGCCACTGCTGTTGATATTTCCTTGGGGTCTGCAATATCTGGAATGAAATAATTAGGGAAGCCATGAGACCCTGACAGAGGTGGGCACGCGAGGGCCTCTGGAGCAGTTGTGGGAGGCAGTCTGCAGTTTGTGCACCCTGAAGTTAAAATCATTCTCATCTTGGATGTTGGTCAACATCCCAAATCGTCTATCTAGATTAGATAGACGATTTGGGATGTACTCCATGTTATCTGTCTCCCACACAGCATGAGCAGAGGGAAGAGAATGTCCTGGATACAGCACTGGTCCCACAGTGAGAAGAGGTGCATTCTTGCCTTAGCTCAGCTACTGAAAAACAGCGTTATCCCAGACAAGACACTTAACTTTTCTGGTTAGTCTGAGTTGACGAAGATCAGATGGAGAGACAAGAAGGACAAATTCAGCTATGCCCGCAATGCTAACAAAGACCATGTACGCAGAGCAACGTATATGGGTCCCTGCTCTTTCAATCGTTGAATGTGGGCCTCTGAGGAGGGGGAAAGTCCTCATTTAAAGCAGCAAGAATTACAGGTCACCCAATATACACAGGTGGAAGAGTTCTACATCTTGCCCCTGCGGACAGGGCTGTCCTTGGGTGACCTCCATAGGCTGATCCTTTTAGAGGTTTCTTCAGTGAATCCCTGGGGAGTGACTCTGGGATGCAGTGCTTTTGGAAGAAAGTGAAATTCTGTGTCTGGACTAAAAAGATGGAGGCTTATCTATATAATTACTAATCTCTAGAGGAAAAAGAACTTTCCTTATTCATACCTTTGAATCTGCCCAATCACTGGCACAGCTCATAACTAACCCTCAAATGTACACTGAACATAACTGAAGGCAAGTCCATTAACTAGTTAAATAATTCATGCAATAAACATTTATTGGACATCTTATCACATGCTTGGCATTATCCCAAATGAAGGAGAGGCCAAGCCTATCCCACCACATTCATGGGCAAGTGGGATGTGCTCTCTGGATTCCACTCTCCTCTCTGGCTGTCTTTGGGGAGGTACTCTTTACCCCCTTCAAAGTGCCTTTGGTGTTAAATTATCATGTTAAATTATCATCTTTTACAAAATGCACAATTCTGGGTGCATGGGTGGCTTAGTCGTTAAGCATCTGCCTTCAGCTCAGGTCGTGATCCTGGGTCCCAGCATCAAGTCCTGCAACGGTCTCCCAGGGAGCTTGCTTCTTCTTCTGCCTTTGCCTCCCTTTCTCTGTCTTTCACGAACAAATAAATTAAATCTTGTAAAAAATGCACAGTTCTACACAAACTGTTATTTGCCCTCATGGAATTCCTACTTAATGACATTTTCCCAATAAATATTGACTAAATGTTTGCCATGGGTTATGCCTTGTTCTATGTGTTGGATTAAAACAGAGAAACAGAGGAAGTCTTTGCTCCCATGGAGTTTATGTGCAATTTAGGATGCTCAACACTCTGTCTCAGAGTGTTGAGAGGAGACAGATGAAACTCAAAGAACCTTTTAAAAATACAACCAATTTGTAAAGAGAGAAGTAAAATTGTCTCTATTTGCAGATGCAATGATACCATATATAGAAAACCCTAAGGACTACACCAAAAAATGGTTATAAATAATCAACAACTTGAGTAGTTGCAGGATACAAAAATCAATATATAAAAATCAGCGACATTTCTATGCATTAACAATGAACTATCAGGAAAAAATTAAGAAAACAATCCCACTTAAAACTGCATTAAAAAATAAATAAAACAGGGACGCCTGAGTGGCTCAGCTGGTTGAGTGGCTGCCTTCGGCTCAGGTCATGATCCCAGCATCCTAAGATCGAGTCCCGCATCGGGCTCCTTGCTCAGCAGGAAGCCTGCTTCTCCCTCTGCCTCTGCCTGCCACTCTGTCTGCTTGTGCTCGCTCTCTCTGACAATAAATAAATAAATAAATAAATAAATAAATAAATAAAACAACCTAGGAATAAATCTAACCAAGGAGATGAAAGAGCTGTACACTGAAAACTATAAGACATTAATGAAAAACTGAAGATGACACCAATATATGGAAAGATGTTCTGTGTTCATGGATTTAAAGAACGTTAAAATGTCCACACTACCAAAGCAATCTACAGAGTCAATGCCATCCCCACCAAAGTTCCAATGGAATTTTCACAGAAATGGAGCAAGCAATACTAAAATCTGCATGGAGCCACAAAGACCCTGAAGAGCCAGAGCAATCTTGAGAAAGAAGAACAAAGCTGGAGGCACCATGCCCCCCGATTTCAAACTATGTTTTGAAGCCACAGTAATCAAAATTGTATGGTATTGGCATAAAAACAGCCACACTGATCAGTGGAACAGAATAGACAGCCTAGAAACAGACCCACGACCATATGGTCAACTTATGACAAAGGACAATAATAGTGTCTTCAATAAATGGCATTGGGAAAACCTGGACAGCCACATGCAAAAGAATGAAACCCTATCTTACACCATATACAAAAATAAACTCAAAATGGATTAAAGACTTGCATATGAGACCTGAAATCATAAGACCCCTAGAAGAAAACATAAGATGTAAGCTCATTGACATTGGTCTTAGCAATGATATTTTGGATTTGACATCAAAAGCAAAGGCAAGGAAAGTAAAAATGAATAAGTAGGATTACATAAAACTAAAAAGCTCCTGCACAGGAAAGGAAATCATCAACAAAATGAAAAGGAAACTACACAATGGGAGAAAATATTTTTAATTGGGATGGGTTTTTTTTTTTAATTGAATTGGATGAGTTTCTTGTGTATTTTGGATATTAGTCCTTTACTGGATATGTGGTTTGCAAACTTTATACCAGGAAACTTTAAAAATTAGAACTCTTGAATTTCAGAAATAAAATCTTAAAAAACCTAAGCAATACAAATTTATACATTTTATCTCTCTCCAGATCAAGTTAAATGATGGCAAAAAAAGGTTGATTTTCATATGATCCTGTGGTATCTCCCATTTTCAAAGAAAACAGAAATCAGAACTTTTTATTAAAAATAGTGCTTCAAAACAGTTTACTTCAAGTTACTCAGTGAGTAACTGACCAAATGGTCAGAACACATGCCATGATTGCTAAGTAATCTGTTATTATGGCTAAAAAAGTGACTGATTAGAAATTAAATACAGGGGCACCTGGGTGGCTCAGTGGGTTACGCCTCTGCCTTCAGCTCAGGTCATGATCTCAGGGTCCTGGGATCAAGCCCCGCATCAGGCTCTCTGCTTAGCAAGGAGCCTGCTTCCCCCACTCTCTCTCTGCCTGCCTCTCTACCTACTTGTGATCTCTGTTTGTCAAATAAATAAATAAAATCTTAAAAAAAAAAAGAAATTAAATCCAATTGATACATACAGCCATATGTCTGCTGGAGCTCATTTGAAAGAATTACTTTAAATAAAGTATTATTTCCCAAATGAGTCAGCATTGCATTTAATTAGGTAACTAAAGGCTCTATCTTTTTTTGAGTCTTAAATTAAAAATTATAAGCCAATATAATTTCGAACAATAGTAATTAAAACACTAAACTATATGTAAATATAATGGCTTTCCGTTAAGATTTCATTAACTTAAATGTTTTTCTCCTTTTGGATTAAATTACATCAGGCCAAAATGAACTCGCCCCCAAGCAAATTTTCTAAGGAACGAATATAACATTTACTAGGAAACACAAACACAGTAAAGGAATTTTTTTAAAGATATTTTTTAACCAGATGGAAGGCTTTTATTTTAAAAATGTAAAAGGTTATAAAAGCCCCCTTTTGGGGGGGCAATCATAATTTTTTTAACAGGCCAAAGTGAATATTCTTAACACACAAGTGTGACTTTTAATTCTTTAAAATGCAGTGGGGAGTAATTTTTCCCTAACAGTAAGAAGGAAAATCCCTCTGAGATTGTGAAGCTGTAGAATTTGAGACTAAAAATTTGCTAATATCAAGACACAGTTAACCATCTCTTTTGTGTGTTTGTGTTTTCTTAATGAAAGCTTTTTGTCTCCCCACTAGTAAGGATGCAGATTTCAAAGTAGCTAAACTACTGTTAGATCAATGTGTACCACACCAGACAACTTCTATACTTGGCTGATTTGATTGTGAGCAACACAAACAAACAAAGCTATTTTCTTACGCAATTCATTACTAACACAGGCTAGCTGAGAATCTGCACCAGAGAGAAAGGGAAGGTAGGACTGTGTGATGGTGTATGTCAACTTGAACATCTAATTCCAAGCTACGTGAATAATGAAATCACAGTGAAATACCAAGCCAGGAGAAGCCCTACAATCTGTGAGAGATCCCCTACCACCCCCATCTATCTAATCTAGCACCCTTTACTTGCTATTTTTTTTTTTTGTGAGATGATTTTTACCTACATTCCATAGACACGGCATGCTTATAAATTTATAAAAAGTTTTACATGTATAAATAAATTTATAAATTCATAAATGTCTATTTATACTAGAAGTTTCACTCCAGTAAGAGAATTATAAACTATGCAAATCTTTTATTTAAAACAATGCGAGGGGCGCCTGGCTGGCTCATTAGGTAGAGCATGTAACTCCTGAACGCAGAGTCCTGAGTTCAAGGCCCACACTGGGCGTGGAGCCTACTTTTTAAAAAAATGAGGTGATAAATTATAATTAATGTGTAAGTACAATAATGGCACTAAATTTAGATATGGAAATTCTCCAAGTTGCTGAGTGTGAAGAGTATCAAACCTTTCCTTTCTGTTGATGCTTCTGGCTGAGAATGGAAGGAGCGATGGAGGCTTGAAGTAATTGAAAAATTCTTCACCTGGTTTCTTGTGACCATGTGTGGAGGGCGACATCATTTTCTCTAGAGTCTCAAGGTAAAATGTCTCTGAATTGAAATGAGAATTGATCTGCTGCTCGGCTAACCATGGCTCGAATACTGCCAAAAATCTTTGATGGAGGATTTGCCAGGAAGAGGTTGCAAATGATGTTCTGGAAAGAGCCAAGATTGGGAACTTTTCACATCAGCCCAAACTATCCATGTCCGTTTCATGTTCTCTCTGGTGAGTTTGGTTGTTCCTCCTTTGCCAAGGATCCTTCCTATTGCCCTGGACACGGGGTCTCCCTTTACGGGCTTCACATCTGTAATTTTAAAAAAGACTCTAGAAAGAGGTCATTCAACCTAATGAGGGCAAGTGCATCCTCCACAGGAAGCCCCAAGAAGAAAGGCTTTCACAAAATCAGCTGCTTCTGTCAGAGTCCGAACATCCTTGGTTTCTTTACAGGTCCTCATTTCTACATTCCTCGATTTCAGGGTAAAGCGTATCTGAAGTCCCAAATGTTCTACGATGGGAGTAACTCTCTTCATTCAGTTCTCTTTTAATGGCATGTGGCTGCTGGCTGGAACTGGGATTTTCCCTGTTTCTTCTTGCTCACCCAGGAATCCAGGGCCAGGGGCCGTGGCAAAAAGGGCTTCACAGGCCAGGCCTCCACAGTGCCCACACAGCCCATGTCCCTACGTCCCCTGGCCCCAGACAGCCTACCTTTTTCCCCACTGGCCAGCTGGCCTGCTGGGTGAGCTGGGTGAAGCCATCCTCAGCCTGCTGCTCTGTGATTCCATCCCCTGGAATCTCCAGCCCACAAGTGCTTCCGGCCCTTATTGCTCTTACTTTAATTCACAGTTCTTATCACTGCCTGGCCTTACAGGTTTATTGTTTGTTCATTTGTTTTCTGTCTCTCCCAGTAGAATGTGAACTGCCTCAGGGTTGGCTGTTGTTTGCTCACTGCAGCATCCCCAGCTCCTAGAACAGGGCCTGGCACAAGGCAGTTGCTCAATAAATAAATCCTTTAGAGAACTACAGACTCTGGACCTAGATAACTCTGCTTATTAATTATCTCTATTTTGAAAACTTCTATTTTTCCAGAGCTCTTTCTTAATTACCTAATTATTTACTAATGAATATATTGTTTATAGCACATTTGAAAGATAATGTTCCTTTTTCAATTATATGTTACATTCAAAACTTACAGTGAATGGAAGATCTCTTAGGTTTTATTTGTACAGACAAAACTACTAAGAATATGAGTATATTAAGCTAAGTTTATTAATCCAAGTAAGCATATAAAAAGCAGAAACTTAAAGATTTTTTAAAATTTAAATTCAAAACTTCTTTAAATTAAAAAGATTTTAAATAGTCAACTTAAAATTATTTTGAACCTACCTCCATATCACTATGGAAAATGATTATCATACACAAATCTAACTAAAGAACTGAATACTCTAAAAGAGAGGGAAAACTTTTACTGCATAGTCACTGTTATGTGGAAGAATGTTTTTAGGACCCCAAATGGAGAACAAGTAATAAAACTAGTGTTCCTGACAAAACAAATATGCTTTGTTAACCCAAAGGGCCCAAATTTTAAAAATATAGAATGATCTCTTGATGATACCCTTCATCATCTTTGCACATTAATGGTTATCCACTTTGTACTTAAGTGGGTAGCAAAATATAGGAACCATGATTGCATTATGGGGCCTCTTATAGCTGGTCAACACATTTTATCTTGACTGGCCTACTGTGCATAATTTGGATCAGGTCCTTCCTACTTTCTATCTCATCTCATAACACACTGAAGATTCTTCAGGACAAGAATCATGCCTTATTCATGTTTATTTCATGAGGCACTTTGGAGAGTGCCTGACACACAGCTGGTGTTCAATAAAATCATAACGGAATGAATGGATGACCCATGGAATGTGGAGGAGGGAGGACAGAGGAAAGGAGCACCGAGGTATCTAGCTTGGGTAAGTCAACGAAAGTGGTTGGAACTCATGAGAAGTACATCGGGAACGAGCTAATGAGTCTGACTTTGGATGTGTTGAGTTTGACATCCTACCGCATATCTGGTTTGGAGATCTCCAGTAAGTAGCTGGGAAAACCAGGCCACAGCTCAGGAGAAGTACCAGGGCTCCTTCTCTCACATTCACCGATCCTTGGTTCCTTCCAACACACATTGGCAGCAGCAACAGCTGTAGTAGTGATAATGATGATGATGATAATTGCTAACACTTACTGAACCACTGCCATGTACCAGGCACTGTGCTATGAGTTTATATATATGATCTTATCTAACAATTAAAGAAAGTCAATGAGGAAGATACCAGTATTATCTAGGGAGGTTAAATAACTTGTCTGTGGTAGGTCACAAGCCTATACTCCTAATCATTTTACTAAAATCCAAACCAATCCAAGAAACCTTGAAGAGTGTAAGAGCCAGCCTTAACTCCAAACATGTATCTTTTCTATGTGTCCGTCTACACTCAGGTCTGAAAATGTTTCCCCAGTGAACCTGGACTTGACTATGTCCATTCACTAACCTCATTAATTTATTCATTCATTTACTAACAAATATTTGTTCAGTTCCAGATACTCTGTTAAGTGGTGGCATCTACATTAAAGCCAGTTAAACAATGTTTAAAGCCAGTAAAACAATGTTATCACTGGCAAAAATATAATAGTAATAATAGCAAGAGTTTACAAAATATAGCAAAAGAAGCAACAGAGTATGTGGACATTCCTACTACAAAGGGAGCGTGGTTTCAACTTCTAATCTGGCTACAAAACCTCATTTAACCTGGCTGGGTCTCCGTCCTTATATAAAAGTTAAGGGGTAAAATTACAGCCAGTTCTGCTATATTGCTACTTTGAAAATACAAACTCTTTCCAAACCATTTGATATATTAGAAAACAATTGGAGCATAACATGAATTTCACTTTTTTGCTAATACACAGTTTCTTCTGTGACAAACACTAAGCAAATGCAGAAAACGCCATCCAACTGAACTGAGCCATTCTGGAATACACAAAATGTGCATGTGCACACACATGCACACACACGTTAAGCACCTCCCCGCTACCTCAGTTCACCACGTGTTGTGAGCCACACCCATCCACATGTGATGTTATAACTTTCCATCTGATATCAGATAACCGTCCTTCCACCCCTTCACAAAAACTCACAAGCCACAACCCTTCCAGTACCAACCTCCAGGCAAACTCTTCAACATAAAGTGCCATGTTTACTGTTGTATTTATATATTTCTTAACATGTGTTTCTTTAACATATATAAAACTGTGCTAACCTTTTCATAGGACCTTATATTTTTTTAAAAAATATGTCAGTGGTAAGGTTTTTGAGGGTTGTGCCCCATGCCCCTTACCCCACTTTTCCCATTGGCCAGTGGTTTTTATCCCATGATTTTGTATAGTACGATGGTTTCTACAAAGGCGATATGTTGCATGATGGCAGAACTGACTATACTCAGATCATGCTCAAATTTAATGTCAGTTCTGCATAACTTCTTTATGTCATTCCTAATGTTTACCTCTGATAGTCCTTTTAAATCAATCTTAACATGCTGAATCACATCATAGGAGGCTGCAAATAAAAAGTAGCATTTGTTTAAGCCTGAACTTGCTTTTTTTTTTTTTTTCTATAAGGGAAAAAAGGACCAGGTCATATCATTTAAATGACCACATACTGTCCACTTTGCTACTCCCTTAGGGAAAATTCAGCACTTTAGAAAGTCTATCCCTTAAACAAACCATAAGAGACTCTTAATCATAGGAAATAAACCAAGGGTTGCTGGAGGGGAGGGGGTGAATGGATGGAGTAACTGGACATTGGATGGACCTTAAGGAGGGCACATGATGTAATGAGCAGTGGATATTCTATAAGAGTGACGAATCATTGACCTTGACCTCAGAAACCAATAATACATTATATGTTAATTAGTTGAATTTAATTTTTTTTTTAAATGGAAAGAAAGAAAGAAATGAAGGGAAAGGAAAGGGAAGGAAGGGAAGGGAAGGGAAGGGAAGGGAAGGCTGTCTCTTGGCTTCCTATACCAACCAAGGATGCTTGGGGGCTTTGCTGAAGGCAGGACTGGTATGGACTCAAGAAACCTAATATAGTCTGAAGGTTACTGGCATGTTCTATCAGTTTTTTTGGAGACTCCTGTGGTAACTAAACCCCTGGTTTCTTGCAAAATTCTGGCATCCCCGGGAGGACCTGAAGTCAGGTTACTTCTCAGCCCAGAAGACCATCAGCTGTAGCAGTCACCACTTACAGAAGACAACAGAAGACTTTAGAGGCCTGCTCTCATCATCCCCTCCTGAATCCGGGTCTGCCCTGTTTATTAAAAGGATGGAGAAGAGATTTGTCTGTGGCAGGTGGTAATCTTCTAAATCCAGTTATGAGAGAAAGAGAAGAAAGAAAGGTTAAGAACCCTGCAAAATCTACCACAAAAATCAAACTCACACCCCAAGAGGGAGTCATTACAGAAAATATATGAAGCCATCATCATGATTACTCTTACTATAACACTACTAAAATATTGTCCATAAATCATGAAGCCATTCTCATTGGCTGAGAAAAAGGAATAGGAATTATTAGAATATATGTTTTCCACTGACAATGCAAAACTATGAAAGAATGTGCCAACAACTGAAAAGTGGTTAAAGCATAGTATGAAAATGCAAGAAATAAAAGATACACAGTGCTTAAAATTGCAGATATTTAAACCAATAATAGCTGATAATGACCCAGAAAGATACATGGGGTACATGGGGTGTTCATGACAAATCCCCCTAATGGGGGCTGTTTTGCTTTCATCATCAACTTGGCACCAGATCTAGCTTGGGGTCTAAATTTCTATCCCCCATGTTTCTGTATTGTCAGAGCAGCCACATCTGGCCCACTCTTCCTCCACAAGGCCTCTCCTGGCCATGATCTCTCACAACGGGTCTTTGTCACGGTCCTGATCAGCTCAGGCTGTCACCACCACCTGCCAAGTGTGATACAACAGACTGTCAAAATCAAACCCCTATATCCGATACCTTCTCTCTCATCACGTTCCCACTCACACTGCCATCAAAATTATCATCCCAAAGCTGCTATTTGAAGTTTACTCTCTTTTGCAATCACACAATGGCTACCTTTTCCTTGGAGACCCCTGTAGATGGGTTTTGATGGCAACATCACCTTCACTGCACCCCACTTATCTGGTCTAAACCATTCTTTTCCTGCTTCAGCTCCCAACCTGGCCATCCCCACATCCCCCACATGAGCCCAAACACTTGCCATTCATGGAAGTGCGCTACACGGCCCCCTGCTCTAGGCCAGGGCTCATCCTCTCTGCTTCGCTCATAACGCGAGTCCAATCTTCTCTGCCTCTTATCTCACTGACTTCCCTGATTCTGACTAGCAGTTTTTGGGTGTTTATTTAGTACTTATTCCTGATACTTTAATCCTCTTATCCTTCCCTAGTTGAATTCTGAGTTTCTTAAAGATTGTAGCACCTAGCACCCTCTCTTGCACATAATGAACATGCTGTTAACACTCACTAAATGTAACTAAGCTGAATTTCTAATAGAGAAA